TTGTGTTTGGTTAAAAAACGATTCATTATCATTCTTTTGTAGGTACTTCCAATCAAATGAAAATTGTATTTGGTTGCCCTACCACTTTTTTTTATTATTTAAGGGATCTGATCCGATTTTTGACATTGCCTGTGGGAAATTAAAAAAAAAGTGTTTTTACCCGTTATCCTTAAAATTTTACCCTCTACATTTCTGGGCAATTTACACAATTTACGCAATTTACAGCTTTCATTGTTTTGTTATCTTTTTTGTTGTTAAACGTAATGTCAAATGTGAATGTCACTATTCTTTGCTTTTTTCGATTTTTCAATTTTTGGTTTTTTAGATTTTTTAATTTTTTGATTTTTCGATTTAAAAACCATAAAAGGCATTTTTATTTATTTTAATTTCGTAACTGGTGACATAATCAACTTTTCTAAATCAGTTGCATAATGTTCTACTTTTTATGCAACTGGTTGCGATTACAAAATATGTCACTTTATATGCAAAATTAGAAAAAATATTTTAAAACTTTCTTTATTACTCGATTCAAAATACGACTTTTTGAATTATTAGTTTAAATCGCTTGAATTTGTAAGCTGCGTGATTACATCGTACTTGTGGAAGTAATTTATCGAGTCAATTCATTATGAAATGTCTCAATTTTCCATCTATTTCCTAGTTTACACTAATTGCCAGTTGGTTGTCGCTACCAGAGTCGGAACGTTATCAACTTACCATTTATACACTACCGGCGACAACTTGGACGCCTGAAAACATCGGCTAGCGGAAAATAATTTCTGCACACATGTCATTCTGTTTAATCCCAATCTTATCCAAGCAAAATTGGTTACATTTTCTTTTGTCGACTAGAAAAAGAACGTGTTACTTTTTAATCAACAAGCTACGTATTTTAAATTAATTATAACAATAATTCGCGATTTAGATTAATTTTTGCGTGCCTGTCATTTGCCACCTATAGAGTCAATATGGGTAATTGGAAACGTCTCCAATAAATCACTTAAAAATACACTTGGCAGCAGCGCATTGTACGCGACAGATTCTCAAGGTTCTTGTGGGAATCACGCTATTTTCACTTGCACTCCAGAACTGTTTGTTTACAAGCTGTTGCTGAAGCAATTTTTTTAAGTTTCTAATCCTGATTGTTGGTTTTAATAGTGATTAAAATATTGAAAATTTCGGCGACGTATTAAGTGTAAACCTTTACACTTAATCCCTACTACTCACATATGGCTACCCTCACTCCAAAAGTATTTCATAAGTTTTATATCCATTCTATGACAGGTTATTTATAAGTGATTTATCCATCTGTAAATATTACTTTTGAGGTTATTTAACGTATTGCGGTTTTTTGGGCTGTGTTTTCATTTACCCTTAGTAAACCTCGATAGGGGGTAAATGAATACACCAGCTGGGGGTAAATGAGAAAACCACAGAAATGGCTGATCTCTTCCTTCTTTTCTAGATCTGTGCTACGTCATATCTAATAGAATATGCCACGTAACTATATTAAAAAGCGGGACCCACCCGCCATACTTTAGAAGATTTGGCCAATGCTGCTAATGATGTTAAAGAGAATAAAAAAACTTATAGGGTGGCTAGCGATTTTAAGGTATTCCAGTATCTGTTATTTATAATAGGATTAATGGTAGAAAAGTGAAAATTGATAAAATAGGAGCTGGTGTTTCCCCAACAGTGTATGAAGGTTGAAAATCACATTATATTTTGCTTAAAAACGTAAGCAAAAAATCTGATGTGTCCAACACATGACTTTCCTATCTAGTTATTATAGGCATTTTCCGGTTATTTTGTACCTACAACCTATTGCAGCACCTCTATAAATGTTTAGAGGATAAACTACATATATACATTTCCCACATACATCTAACTCGACACATTTTAGATCCTTCTCTCAAAATAATATAAATAATGTTAATAATCTTCTGCAAAATGAAACCTGGCATGACATGAGAAAAGCAACCAATGCAAATAAAAAAGCTGAAGCACTTCATGATACATTTATGAAACATTTTAATGCTTCAATTCCAAATATATTCCAACCTAAAAGAAAATGTAATAAAAATTTGAGTTATATTAATACAGATGAAATAAAAAGACAAAAAGAACTAATCTCATTTTTACAGGACGTCATTAAAAACAAACCAACCGACTACAATAAACAATTATATAAACAAGAGAAAACTAAATACAATGTATTGCTAAAAAATCTGATGTGTCCAACACATGACTTTCCTATCTAGTTATTATAGGCTTTTTCCGGTTATTTTGTACAACTTATTGCAGCACCTCTATAAATGTTTACAGGATAAACTAAATATATACATTTTCCACATAAATCTACTTCCCTTGAAACATTTTTCTATAGATATTCATTGAAAACGAAAATACTGAAAAATTTAAATTTAGCACTTTTCCTACAATTTTTCCATTACGGTCCGTTTTAGAAAAATCATGTATAAACAAAAATTATAGAGATCGATATCGCAAACAACTTTTAGTTCAACAATTTTCATAAAAATCAGAATTTTGCACATTTTGTCAAATTTCTCGAATACGGACCCTTTCAGGAAATTTTGACATGAAGCAAAAATTATAGATAATAATATTGGAAGTAATTTTTATTTGAACAATTTTCTTCTCCAAACGTAAATAACAGATATATTTCATAAAATATAAAAATGACCACCTATAAAGTACCCCCCCAAATGTTCCGACTCTGTCCAAAATCTAATCAGTTCACCGCAGGCCGGAATAAAGCTTAAGTATAAAATTTGGTGTTTTTCTTTGTATCGGTTCATGAGTTATGGTGGATACAGACACACACACACACTGACACACAGACACACACACACACACACAGACATCATCCCGAAAATAGTCAAAACGGATTCAGGGGACCCCAAAACGTAAAAATCCTTCGAAAACTGGAGGTCGAAAAAAATCATGATTCCTATACTTTCCTTATCTGTATACAGATAGGAAAGTAAAAATGGGCTATCCTTGCGACAAAACAGAATTACTAAGATTAGTAGGAGAATATATAAAATCAAGGTTTAAATATGGAACTCCTGGTGAGGAATGGTACCGCTCATTATCTCTTGAAGAAGCCTGGACACTAGACTGGGCCAAAAAAATAACAATTTTTTTTTTTTTTTTTTGAAAGATATATCGAGAATATCATTCAGAATGATAAAAAAAAATTTCGTGAAAATTTGAGCCCTTAATATTAATTTTAAGAGGTCTATCATCGCTATTTTTGATTTTTTGTCATAATTTGATGTTTTACGTTAGAACTGTCAAAACATTAAAGTGAAAAAAATTCCTTTTCACTTATTCTGATATAAAATTAAATTCTCTACGAAAATGGTCTGATTGAAAATTTTCGTCAGACGAGCTGTTTCCAAGTAATTTCGTAACTAATAAATAACTTTTGAAGAATTAAATTTAGGCAAAAATATTAAGAGACCTTTTTTGTAGAACATTAATTTTCCTTTAAGAATGCGACGTGGGCTTTTTTAAATATGCATTGATTCATTAGTTACGAAATTACTCGAAAACGGCTCGTCTGACAAAAATTTTAATAGGGCCTTTTTTGTAGAGAATTTAATTTTACATAAGAATAAGTAAAAAGGATTTTTTTCACCTTAATGTTTTGACAGTTCTAACGTAAAACATCAAATTATGACTAAAAATCAAAATAGCGATGATAGACCTCTTAAAATTAATATTAAGGGCTCAAATTTTTAGGAAATTTTTTTTTCATCATTCTGAATGAAAATCTCGATATATCTTTCAAAAAAAAAATTGTTATTTTTTTGGCCCAGTCTACTGGACACCTTCAGAAAATTCGCAAAGATGCGAGAAAACCAGCGATCATTTATGACTTTTATAACAAATTAAAAGAGACGGTTCAAAAAAAATGGGCTGGATCTACTTGGTATGTCACCATTCGTTTTTAACGCTGACGAAACGGGATTTAACAGTGATCCAACGCGTATCAAAGGTATTGGAGTGAAAGGAGAAGCATTGTATCGAGTTTCTGGAGGTTCTTGCTTGCGAGGCAGCTGATGGTACACATTTGCCAACCCTAATTATTATTAAGGGAGCGGCTGTGCAAGCTAGGGGAGTTTCAGATAAGGCTCTAACAGGAACGCTGTATGCTACTAGTAAAAATGGCTGGATGGAGGAGCCGCGGTTCCACCTATGGCTTACTTGCGGATTTATTCACCACGTAAACAAACTTCTTGAAGAACGAAACAAGCCAGAGCAGAAAGCTCTTCTTTTATTTGGTGGACACTGTAATCACATAAGGATTATTGATACTGCATATTGAGTTAATCAAATTTCCCAGCCATTTGACTGATCGACTCCAGTCACTAGACAAATGTGTTTTCAAGTCTGTGAAGTATACATGGGATCACAAATTGGTTGCTTACGGGAAAGAAATGATGAGGCGAATACCGTTTAACAGAAAATAAATTTGTCGAGTTCCTTTTTGCAACTTGAGAAGAATCCTTTATTAATAACAGATCTGCGCTTTTTTTCACTCACAATAGAAGACATTATCAAAAATAAAACCAGTCACTTTAACCAAAACACAGAAACAAGAAACAAACAATGATCTAGTCGTTACGCTACTGACCGTAAGCAAGGACAAGGTTCAAATTGTAAATGGGCGTGGCGATTTTTAAGTAAACGAACTTGAGCATTTGCGCTGGTTCTTTAGATTTGGCGTTTACAATACCACGCTCGAAAAATCAGTATATGGAGAGGTTCTTACGACAGAAGATGGTCTAAATCGGATTAAACAAAAAGAGAAGAAAAATAAAAAAAAAACAAGGGGAGAAAAAGAAAAAAAGACCTATTACAAAATAATTACCAATTATTGTCAAAGAAAATCAAAAGGTCATGAAACATAAAATCAGATGCTTAATTCAGAATTATCAAGTTCAGACTTGAGTGAAGAGGCACTTTCATAGGGAGAAACTGACGATAGTCGATGGAGTGAAGAAATAGAAGAACTGAAAATAAACATGTTAAAAAAAGGAACATTTGCAGTAGTCGCCAGATATTTATGTATGATAGAGGATATCGATTTGGATGAAGGTGAAATTAAAGTAACTTCCTTAAAATATTTGAATAATGATCGTAAAATGGTTTCTTTGGTTGATACTGACATTAGTCTTGTTACTGTAGACCAAATTATTAAAATTACCAATGAACCTAGCATTTTGATGAGAGGGAAACGGATGTATTATAAATTTTCGGAAGCTCTTGATATTATCGAAAAGGCTTAGTATGTGTCTAATTAATAACTAATAGTATCAAGGCTTATTATTATTAGGAACGAATGTGTTAAGATCTGTTATCATTTAGTATTTAAAAAGAATTCAAATTAAAAATATCATAAATTACAAAAATAAATTTAAATACTGTATTTTAGAGACGGATCGATATATATTTTATAATATTATAAATGCTTTTAGTTCTTATTTTTTTATAGCATTAATTTCTTCGGTTTTAATGAACATGCTTGTTCAAAAAACAAATTTATGATAGCTATATACAAATCAACCTCTAGCTCAGTTCATCCACACCTCTTTACCCACCGGATGAAAAGGAAATTAATGGTTAGACGTAGATGCAGAATGAAAAAAACACGACTACTTTTCTTCTTGCTTTTCTTTTCTTCTGCTGCTTCTTCTCTTTAATTGTTCGATGACTGGCTTGTTGTCGGACTGACAATCAAGGCAGCGATGTTGCCGTTATTTTTGTTGTTCGTCTCTATGTAGCTACAGACGAAGATACGAGTCTTTAAACATAAGATTTTATTCGTACGGTCACTCATCAAACTTTTCTTTGCTTTGTTTGGGCTTTTACAGCTTAATTTGTCCGAATACCAAAAATATTCAAAGAAATAAGTCAACCCAACTTACGTTTGTGGTAAATGGGGCTGATCAAACACAGTAAAATGTTACTAAATTGCAACTTTTGGCGAAGGAATTGGATGAAAACTTCCAGAGCCTTCGCCTTTTCACATAAATGGGCTGTCTTAATGTGGCAGAGTCAAATAGTAGAAAGATTTTGTTAAATTGTCTATATAAATTAATAGTGCTGAGATAAATTAAATAAATTAAATAATAAATTGTTTAAAATACGTAAATGTTGAATTATTGTAGCTATTACATTTACATTGTTCAACGTACATTTCTGAAATTAAATTGTCTTGCGGCTTTTGCTGAAGTCGAATCTAATTTCTTATGCCATCATCCGACTAATACTTTTTAATACATTGTAATTACTATAAGTCGACAACTCCCTTTCAGTTGGATTAAAGGTTTTAAGTAATGAAAAATGGGTTCCGAGATTCAAAGTTTCCCATTTTTAATCTTGTAATAAGATCAAAAAGAAAGTATAAAAACGGGCGGCTTTCTCGTACACAAACAATTTCCCGAAAACTTTGAACCTCGCAAAAAATATGTCAAAAAAGTACATATTAATCTTTTTATAATCCAAAATGATGGAAAAGTTATAATAATAGATTTATAATATTCTTGAGATTAATCAATACTGTTATTTTTTAATTTGTAACAATTTAGGCAAAGGAAAAACCAGTTATCCCAAACTAACGAAAAAAATAATTTGTAAGAAAAGTATAATATTAACAATAGTAAAAAATAAACTAAAAATAGTCATGATCGATTGTCATCCAAATTATCTAAAGGGTCTTACAGTTACAACCCATTTGCATTGCTAGTCATTAAGAAATAAAGAAAACAACATTATATTTTTAACGGAAACAGTGTAATTTTAAGCTTAAATAAACCAAAAATGCTCAAAGATCGTCTCTTATATTCGGCAGCAGTTTAAAGATGTGGGGCTAGTGGGGTCCAAACTATAAACTAACAATATTTGACTTTCGTTATAGCCAATTGTCCTTACCTGATAATAATAATTATCTTTTTTTTTTTTTAATTTAATTTGGCCATCTGTATTGGCTAGATATTTAATTTTTTCTTCTTGAATTCCCATTTATGGTGTCAATTTGGAACAAGAATATGGACATTTAATTACAATTATTTCATTATTAATAATGCTGTCTGGACTTGCTCTAAAGTATGGATCCTTTTCTACACAGATTTCTCAAAGGCATTTGACAGACTTGACCACGGTATTCTTCTTGGAAAACTTACAGGGTTTTGGTTGTCACCCCCTTTGATAAATATCTTTCAGTGCTATCTAGTAAATCGTACTCAGTTTGTACAACTTAATGGGTTTAAGTCTGTCAAATTTGCAACAACATCTGGAGTTCCTCAGGATTCCATTCTGGGCTCGTTACTATTTATTATGTTCATCAATATTTCGAGAGTAATTAAAGAGCAGTTTTTACTGTATGCAGATGATTTAAAATTATCCAAGCGTGTGACAAGTATTGGCGACTGTGAACAACTTCACATGAACTTAAATCTAGTGGTTGAATGGTGTAATAATAATAAACTTGAACTTAATCCAATTAAATGTAAAGTTATGTCTTTTTCTTTAAAAACCGACCAAATAAAGTATAATTATTTAATAGATAATGTCTCACTTCAGCGACCAGATACTTTTACAGATCTTGGGGTAATTTTTGATCCCGGATTGACCTTTATATGTCACATAGATAAAATGATTGAAAAATCGTATCGTATGTATGGTTTTATAACTCGCTGCACCAGGGATTTCAAAGATGTAGCCACATTAAAAACGTTATATTACTCTTTTATAAGATCAAAGCTTGAGTATGCGTCTGTCGTCTGGAGTCCATTTTACCAACTTCACACGGATCGAATTGAAGCAGTTCAAAGGCGGTTTCTAAAATTACTGTGTTTAAAGGAGGACGGTGTTTATCCGCCAATCGGAATACCAAACCAAAATCTTCTTCAAAGATATCACTTTTTAAGCCTCATAAAAAGACGTGAATACCATTGTTATGTGTTAGGTTTCAAAATTGTTAACGGTTTAATTGATTCTCCTGAACTGTTGAGAAAAATTGATATCAGCATTCCGAGAGTATCCTCTAGAAATTCTAACATATTTCACATATCTGTACCTCGCACAAATGTTCTGAAAAATTCTCCATTTCATACTATTAGCCGCGTTGTGAATAGTGTGAGTAGTGACATTGATATCTTCTCATGCAAACTTAGGGAAATAAAATGTCATTTCCTAACATAAAAAAAAATTGTATTGTATTTTACCTACTAGCTGTTTACAAATTTTTGTATATTTTGTACCACCTAGTCTATATAATGTATGTGTTCGTTTATTCCTGCTCTGTAATTGGGATTGCTTGTAGAGCATTGTAATAAATAAATAAAATAAATAAATAATTCACATTCTTGTACCGTTTCTCCACATTTATTTTTAAATTGTTCTATCGCAATAGATTCATGATCTTGTCCCCATTTTGTAGCGACTGATCCGTAAAAAGATGAAAATAATATGTTATTAACAGTATTTTTTGCGTAATTTGCAAACGGTTCCAAAATTTGAAGCAGTGAGTATATTACTACGATGTTCTCTCCACAGATCATTATTGGCCTGACCTGTAGTAGATACTTCAATTTTACAAATATCATCTATTGATTTTGGTAAACTATCCAAAAATTGCAGTTTTTTTTTGTTCCAAAACATCGTCATCATCATTGCATTAAAGTCCGTAGTCCCTATCTTTAGGTGCGCCAATTTGGCGTTTTTTTAATTGAGGTCCCCTGACTTTTCTACTACATCTACGTTTGCTCATTTGGGTAACCAATCTTTGTGTGTGAATCCCAGGAACACTTTTTGACAGCTTTTTATAAAGAGTGGGAATATAGTTCTCTTTTTTATTAAAAGAAATGGCTGCACCTGTACACCGAATATTATATCCTTTTACTGCAAAATTAATTCTGTTTCCTCCCAACAAATTTGACTACGATTGAATTATATGTCTCTGCAACATTATTAGTCATGTTTAATAATAAAAGCAGCATTACCGGAGTATGGAGGACCCCCTCCCCTTTTTTTAAGCCACGCTTCAGAGTGAGAGGAAGTGGGGGGAATTAAATCTCTAATCACGTTGAATGGAAAAATCATGCGATTGCCAAAAGGATCTAAGCGTGTTTCTCGGCTACTATTGCACGGAAAAAAATCTCCACTGAGTTCAAGGTTACGTATCTTGGTTTAACGCCAAACTATTCTTAATAGTCCTCAATAAGAAGTTATTCTTAGAATAAATACAAACTATTTCTTAATCTGAGTATGCGATATGTCGTCAACAAGAATAACATAACTTAGTACAAATTCACTGTAAAATTATTTGAAGACATTGTATATATTTGAACCTAGTAAGGTTCTATACTTAATGCAAAAATAATTTTTAAATCTACACAAAAATAACTTTATTTTAAATAAACAATAACTTTATTTAGGTTAATTAAGAGAATTAGTTCACTGAACAAAAACATATCCTTTGTCCAACACCTCACTATATACTTGCTATAAGAATAAGAAAGCACTTGAATGTAATTCATATAGTATTTAAGCCAAATATATTATATATTTATTGTAATATTATTGTAGTATTTCCGCAAATGTATATGTCGCTTGCAACAAATAATCTTATTTTTTGTAACAAAAAGAACCTATTAGTTGAGTAATTATTTGCCTTGCATATAATTTTTGTTCTTGAAGAAGGTCCTTTCGCCACCAATGTTAAATAAAAAATATTAGATTATGACTAAAATTAATTTTTTTCTAATAGTTGAAGTCCTTATTTATCTAATAGTGATTTTTTAACTATACCTTACCGTGCAAATTTTTAAGAATTTTTTTTTAAAAATTGTATTTGTCTTACAAGAAAGTAAGACCTCAACAACAATTCTCGAATTATACTATTATTTATTGATTAGATGGAGTAGAAAAAAACTAAAAATAAGGTTTTTGATATATTTTGGTTCTGTAGGACTTCAACTATTAGAAAAAAATTAATTTTAGTCATAATCTAATATTTTTTATTTAACACTGGTGGCGAAAGGGGTGACGAAAGGACCTCCTTAAGCAGTTTGACTAGTTCAGTGATTCTAAAAAAAAAAAATTAACGTGAGAACATATTTTCATTTAACATTGTTTACATGGTTTTGAGCGGAACGTCTCCACCTCGCCTGCTGCGTGCTTACGTGGTTTTGAGCAGCGGGCGAGGACGTTCCACCCAAAACCAGGTAAATAAACATAAAATACGTACTTTCATTTAAGGTAAAACTATAGTTCTCACTTTCAT